TTTGCCTAGACAATTAACACAAAGACCTACAAATGATCAACATGCAAAGAATAAGAGACTTCAGAATGTTCAGGCCTACATGAGACATCTATATCACACCCTCTACTCCCAAGGCTCAGGAACCATTATGGAAGAGGGGTGAAAAGATTGTAAGAGCTAGAGGTGGTAGATGAATACAAGCTGTGTTGTTCAGACATCACAAGGTAGTTGTACATATGAACCCACAGTGGTTATGACAACATTCACAAGTCATGTGCAAGTTCAAGTCAGGTAAGGGTCCAGCATGGATTGGGAAGGTGGGTAGGAAACCCCAGCCCTAAGTGAGGATCTATTGGCATTTGATGGCTGCTGGAAGAGGGAGAGAGTCAATTTTCCTTACTAGTGTGAAGCCTGGTAGGTTGACCAGACTCCAAGGGATAGACCCACACCCAAGAACACTTGGAAAACACAGATTAGACTCCATAGGCCTTTTTCTTAAAGACAAATAAAGGTGTGGTGGTGCACACCTTTAATCTCAACACTTGTGGAGGCAGAGGCAGGCAGATCTCTGTGAGTTCAAGGCCAGCCTGGTCTACCCAGTGAGTTCCAGGACAGCTGGGGCTACAGGGAGACCTTATCTCAAAAAAGACAAAAAAAAAGATAAATAATAATAAAGGGCATGAAGTCTGGGAGGGAGGATAGTAAGGTAGGAGTGGGGAGGGGAGATGGGGTCTGAATATGATGAAAATACATTATATGAAATTCTTCTTTTCTTATTATTTTATGTGTATGTGTGTATTGCCTGCATGTAGGTAAGTGCACCCATATCGTGCAATGCCCACGGAGGTCAGAAGAGGCTGTCAGATCCCCTGGGACTGGAGTTATGGACAGTTGTTATCTGCCATGTGGGTGCTGGGATTTGAACCCGGGTCTTCTGCAAGAACAACCAGTGTTCTTAACTGATGAGCCATCTCTCCAGCCCCATGGAATTCTTAAATCAATAAAAATATTTTAATTCTTTTAAATTTGTTCATTTTTGTAATTTTTATTTTATGTGTATGAGTGTTTTGCCTGTATGTTGTGTACCCATGCATGCATTGCCCATGGAGGCCAGAAGAGGGCATCAGAATCCCTGGAACTGGAGTTATGGATGGTTGTTAGATGCCATGTGGGTGCTGAAAATTGAACCCAGATCCTCTGTAAAAGCAGCAAGTACTCTCAACTACTGAACCATGTCCACAGCCCCCAATAAAAATATTTTTAAAATAGATTTTCAATTAAGAAACGTTGTCTATATTCTAGAGGTAGAACTAGAATTCAAACGGAAGGCCTGCTGGCCAGAGTTCATCCTCCTAACCCCTAGCCTATAATAATAGCTACTATATACAATATTCTGTATTCACATATGTGTCTCTTGTAGCACCTCATTAATGCTCTAACAACTCTGTGAAGCCATTATTTTTGTTGTTTCTATCATGAACAGAGGAGAGTTCAGAGGAAGAGAAGCATAGAATTTATGCATTTTGCTCCAAAATCTGCTGGCCCTGTTTTTTCCCTTCTCTCCCTTCTCTTCTGCCCCAGCTCTCACCTTGAATTCTGTGGGCACCAAGAGCTTCGGTGTGGCTAGCCCCAGAAAGGCATCAAGGCCACAGCCCAGCAGGATAGCCAGGACTGAGGAGAAGTCGCTGAACACCTTGCGCACCTGTCCATACAGTGGACATTTAGTCAGGTCTTGGCCTGCTGTCCCATTTCTTCTTGACCTTTTCCCATTTGCAGGCAGGAATCCAAGACCCAAACCATACATATCCCATAGAAAAAAAAATGAGACTCACCACAGAAGGGAAGAGGCGGCTGTTCTTTACATGTTTGAGAGCCATGGCACAAAGGAAGGAGGTAAGGAAGAGGAGAAGAGAGAAGAAGGCGATGTCTGGGACTGTATGACAGCTGGGGCCACGAGGGTGGCCTCCTTGCTGGGCACACTCAGCTGGAGGCAGCAAGGATGCATTGACCAGGCCTAGGTGCTGTATGGAGGAGTGGTCATGGATTCTGGGTGGCAGAGTAAGTGTCCTACCCTTTTGAACCTACATCAAGGGAAGGGGAACCCACAGAGGCACCAAGGACCCAGGATAGGAAGTCATGAATCTGTGGATAGGAAGAGCGAAGGACCACTAACTCTTTTCCTTCTCAAGCCTTCCCAGGAGCAGGCTCTCACCACACTTAAGATGTCTTCTCTGTCTTTTGGTTTTGTTCGTGTCCACTGAGACTCATTTCCTAGGAAGCAGAGAATTCAAGTATAAGCTCCTTCGAGCCTCACAAGATTCTAATTTGATGGTCCACCTGAACCAGAGAGTTCTCAGTTCTGATCCCTCTGCTGATTTCATTGCAACTAAGTGTATTCTCCTTAAGATACTGTTTTATGTACTCATGCCCTCAAATTCTCTACCATCTGTGTCTCTGGTGCTGAGCACAAGACTGAGCCCATAACAGTTGCTCATCAAATGTTGGCTCAATGCATGAGCTCACAAATCTGTACCAGAGCAAGAACTGGTCTCATTCACATCTAGCAGAATCAAGCACACATTAGAAAGGACTTTTTTTATTGTATATATAGCTAAGTGGTTCATGCTTGTGATTTCAGCATGTAGGAGCGTAGAGGCAGGAAGATCATTCGTTCAAGGTCATCCGTGGTTACATAGTAAGTTGGAGACCAGCCTGGGGTACATGAGACCTTGTCTAGCCCCTACCTCTCTACCCCAAAAGGACATTTTACTCCCATTCCTGGTGCCAACTTCCATGTGGAGGGATGGATGCAAGTGTAACTCTCCAAACTTCTCTCCACCTAGTTATTTGCTCTCACCCAGGAGAGAGCCTGTGGTTGAAGAGTTTAGGAAATGAAGCTAGGCTTGCCTGACCCTGCCCTTTCCTCTCCCTTCTCTCAAGAATAAGTTGCCTGGTTGGTATATTTAGCTCTGCTCCTTTGGGGCAAGACAGTCCTCATCCAGGGCTGCAATCCTTGGGTGGGTAAATCTAATTTTGGCTTTACTATTAGGAAGCCCATTAACCCATAGAACCCATGCTCTTCGGTTATCAGAAATAAAGATAACACTGAGATTTTCATTGATTTTTCTCGACTAATTCAAAACCAGAAGGGGGACTGCACACTACTGGATACATATTCAGCATTTCCCTGAACTTAGTCCTCTCCCCACATCCTTCCTCACCTACCTCCTGGGTCTGGGTATTGGCAGAAGCAACCATAGGCAGGAGACCCTGGCCTTTGGATGGGATAGGAACGGGTCAAGTTTAGCATCTTTCCCAGGGCATCATAGATGAAAATGAGGCTGATGAGAGCACAGAATCCTTCCTCTGTGAAGCGGGTGAAGTATCGCACCAGCAAGCTAGCCTCTGTGGCTACCAGCATTAGGCAAAATATGGCCACCCAGACGCCTACCCACAGGCGGAAAGGTAGGTAGTCCAGACTGTAATCTCTGCAGGGGTGAGAAGCAGTCAGGGTCTGTGCTCCACCTAAACCAGGTCAGATGCCCCTCAAGCCAGAGACAGCCCTCACCTTCTCCTCTACCCAGTTAAGAACTAATGAGGATGTGACCACCCAGGGGCTGGTGGGATTGAGAGGGCTTCTACCTGCTGAAAGAAAAGAGTAGGCGCTCAAAGACCAGCACTGGCCCGGTGCTGCTGAGGATGGTGAGGGGCTGGCCTGCCATCAGGCAGAAGGCAGCTCCAGCTACCGCCGTGCCCAGGAAACTCTCCAGCACTCCCTGGAAGTGGAGGAGGGCTCATCATAGGATCTCAGCGTCCCGCCATAGGAGCCCGAGTTTCTGTGGAGTCACCTCAGCCCACCCACAGTCGCAAGAGAAAGACAGGCAGGCTGACACCAAAGCTTTTGTCAGCGTCACACCTGGGGCCCACCTCATGCCCCACCCACCTGGGCACCTTCAGTGGCATCTCCCAGCAGACCCCCGAAAGTGATGGCGTTCGTGACTGTGGCCAGGTAAATATAGAGCACAGCTGAGAAACACTGGGGGTGCAGGGCGTCCGAGAAATCGCTGGGGTACCAGGATACCTTCCGGCGCACGTCCTGGACGAGACCCCCAAACAGCCTCCCGCCCGTGGATAGTCAGCGATCCAGGATCCCACACCCCACGCCCGCATCCTGCTTTTCCCTGTAATTAGGCAAGCCCCTCCCTCAGTGAGTGCACATTTGGGTTCCCCATGACCCTTCTGTTCTACAGGGTCCCATCCAGCTCGCCTCACCGGCCGGTCCTCTGCAACTCCAGGCTGGGCGCGTGCTGCCCACGGTGGTGCCTGTCCTCTGCCAGGGCCACACTCTGGCGGCGGGAGAGACACTTGACCTCCCGCGGTTGCGAGGGGTGTCTGAGAAGAGGAACCCCAGGTTGGCAGATCTCCAACCAGCCTGGGACTTGACCCAGAGTACGTGACGCCCTGCCCCCTGGCGGCTGCTGTGCTGGCGGCGAGAGGCGCCACTCTTAACTGCCGGATGTTGGTAAGAGGAAAGATCCAGGTCATTTTTCCCTCTGCGGCTACCAGGCTGAGCTGGGGTGAGCACTTGTTCAGGTCTCACAGGGACAGAGCAGTAGAGCAGAACCCAGAGTTAGAGCCAGTTTACTCCAAATCCAAAGACAGCTCTAGACAGACCCACCGCCCAGGGAACAATCTGCGGGCAATGATGACCTTGGGTACCTTTTGTGCGGAGAGGGTAGGTGTTTGGGCGGGGGAATCCGCGCTGTCGGGTCCCACCGACCTGGGGGGAGCACTGTCACCTTCTGTAGGAAGGCATCCAGAGCTGCCAAAAGGTCATGTAGATTGCTGGCCTGTCGAACTGACCCCTGGAATCGCTGCATTTAAGGACCACAGAATGGACAGTAAAGGCAGATTTGGACTCTTGCATACATTTTTTACCCGTATTTTCTCAAAACTAGACACATACAGGTCATAGGCAGGCAAATCATTTGTGCATTCACTCACGAATGCATATGTTCACTCATTCTATGTTGTGTGTCTAGTAATGGAGCTACATTAGTAGCTTGGGCTAGTAATGTTACAAACATAAAGCCACGCGACCTCACTGCTATATCTCATCACATAGACAGAATCCATTCACACCCCCACGAGCATGTGTGCGCACACACATACACTCACGCGAACACCTGCCCAACTCACCCAATCACTGAGGAGAACAGCTGCTGCCCGACCCATCTCATGGTAACTCCTTCCCTGGGTGGGAGGACCCAGCAGGAGGCAGAAGAACCTGAAAAAGGAAGGGGGCCTGGAGTGAGTCTGAGGCTGCTCTCTCCTAAGGCAGCACTGCCTGCTGATAGGGCAGCTCCTGAGTGATTCACTGACAACTCTGAGCTCCCTACCTGCTGCCTTACATACAGTCTCAAGTACACACATGTTCTGCAAAATAACCCCTGGGTACTATTCTCTAGACAATCTAGGAAAACTAGACAGAGATCGACCCTTCTGGGTCCAAGAACCCTGACTCCCACTCAGCCACCTCACCTGCTGGGCAGGGGCACCTCAGTAAGGGGCCCCAGCACCACTGGATCCCGCAGCCGCACAAAGGCGCCTAGTGGCTGTGCCAGGAAACCCAGCTCTCCTGCCAGCACCACTGCTGCCTCAGCTCCTGGAGGCAGCTTCTGTCTCAAGGGGCTCTGAGGCTGGATGACAGAGGAGAGATTATTCAGAGAGGGAGATGCTGGCAGAAACTCACCCACTGAAGAGACAGCTGGAAAGTGAGTCTCTGTTAATTCCAAAACTCTTGAATCCCAGCCTTGCCCAAAGAAAGACTACAAAACCTGTATGTACCTTCAGGGGGGTGTCCTCATCATGAGAAGCATTTCTTAAAGGGATAGACCCTACAAAACAGGAATATGCAGTGGCTAAGAGCACAAGCTCTGGGGGTTAGGTCCACCAGGAATCCTCAGCTAGCTTTGGCACTGACAAGCTGTGAGAACTGGAGACTGTCTTTTCCTCTCTGAGCTTCAGTTTTCTCACTGTTAAAATGCAGATAGCTGTAGTACAACCTTCCAGGGTATCTGAAGATGAAATACTGCATGTAAAGCTCCTGGCACATCACCTACCAAATGCATCCCTTCAGAGAGCAATGATTGCTATGCTCCTAACTCCAAATTTTTCTCCCTTCACAATTACCACCAGTTTCCTCTCATCCATGAATCTTATTTGGTCTGAGGACTGAGCCAAGCTTAGGCCATTACTGGTTCAGGAAACTAAGAGATATCTAAGATTCTCCTACCCTAGAATCTTTTTTTTTTTTTTTCCTGTATTTTTGAGACAGGGTCTCCCTGTAGCCCCAGCTGGCCTAGAACTCGCTATGTAGACCAGGCTTGCTATGAACTCACAGAGGTCCACCTGCCTCTGCCTTCCAAGTGCCACCACATCCAATCTACCCTAGAATCTTAATACTAGGCCCAAATAGAGATGTCTCACCCCAGCAAGACCTGGCGCCTGTGGTCTGGATTTGGTGCTTTGGTCTCTGCAGCAGCAGGGCCTGAAGCTGCCCTCTCAGTTCTGGGCTGAGTGACTCCACCCTGATTACCTGCTCTGGAGAACAGATAGGAAATTCAGACCCCCTCCTGAGAGCTCCCTGCCCTACCACTGACCCCTTCTTTGCTCCTCAGGCCCTTTCCCTTCTAGGAATCTCTCAGGAAATGTCAAAGCCAATGAACGCCCTCTGTTTTTATTGCTGTTGTTTAATCAGAGTCTCACTGGATAGACCTGGCTGGCTTAGAACTTGCTATGTAGACCAGGCTGGCCTTCAATTTGCAATGATCCTCCTGCCTCTGCCTGCCAAATGCTGCGTTTACGAGTGTGTGCCACCAAGCCCAACTGTTTTTCCATTCCTGTGACAGGAATGAATAACCCCTAGGATAGGATAGGATAGGATAGGATAGGATAGGATAGGATAGGATAGGATAGGATAGGATAGGATGGGCTCCAAAACAGTCTAAGACTTTGGGAAAAATTCCCGAGATATGGACTGTCTCCCCAGGCCTCTCTGCAAAGGCTTTCAGCATACCCACAAGCTCCAGGAGGCTCTGAGCCTGACAATCCAGCAGTACAAAGCCATCAGCCAGCAGGCTACGAAATTCCTGAAGGCTGGGCAGTGTCAAGGTAGGCACATGTGGGGCACTCCACCGGCCTGCACCCACCTCTAGCTTCTCCTCAAACAGCAGCCACCTATGATGAAGGGATAGATAGTATTACTGGGGAAATTTCCCCGATGTCCATGACATGGGGTCCAGGAAAGGTAAGGCAGTTGGAGTGTCTTTGACCCAGTAGTACCAACTCTATCCCACCTTGAGGGGTCCTTCTCATCCCTCATCTGGTCTCAGAGAACTCAAAACCATATTGCAGAAAAGGGTGAGCATCACAGAAATAGGTGGTGGGCATGGAGGAAAAAATCCTGATCTGAGGTGGGAAGGATCCCACAGAATTAGCTACAGCCCACTCACCTGCCTGTCTCTCTCCACTCCAGTGCCTGGGGCCAGCCCAGCAGCTCATTCAGTTGAATGAAGAGCAGTGGGTCCTTGAATACCCCCAGTTCCTTGCTGTCTGTGTCTGATGGGCCATCAAGGCTGGGGCCAGAATCAAGGCCACTCTCCAGCGCCTCTTCAGGAACATTTTCATGAGCACTGGAAACTTCAAATTCCTCTTGCCCTGGCAGCTTCATTGTGGAGAGGCTTGCAGAGAATTTTGGGAGCCTCTGACTGGTTCTATTTATATTGCACCCCTCACCACAGCACAACACAAGCAAAGCAAGGCCTGTTGGCTCCAGAAAATACCAGTCATCTCCTCCCCTACTCACTTTCCCACCCCTGCTCACCTAAGTATTTGTAAGACTAGTTTGGCTTTTCCCAGGCCTTCTAGAAGTGCTTGACCTGGGACCAAAGTGTGTGTGTGCATCAGGTCTGACCTCACTGTGTTTTGTGTAAATAAATAGGAGTGAGTAACTGGCTAAGTCTGAGTACTGATACCTCCAGATTATGTTGCCCCTAGCCTGTATCAAATATTAACACCACATATCCAGGACTGTTTGTGTGTCAACAATATAACCTCGGGGCCACAGACACATTTAGACAAAGAACTAATAAATAACTAGGCTGTGGAAGCCAGGCAAGGGCCCTGAGATAGCAAGTAGAGTATGGCCCTGCCTTTTAAATGGGCTAATGATGGAAAGTGAAGACAGGTCATGGAGAACACAGTGCCTATGCCTAAAACTTTTTTGTTAAATGTCTGGAAACTTCCCAATTTATCTATGTACCAGGAATATGCCCCTTTGACTCAGAACCTTACTGAGGGGGATAGGGACAAGTTGTGTGTGTGTGTGTGTGTGTGTGTGTGTGTGTGTGTTCCTGAAGCCAAATAAGCAAGGAGAATGTGGTCCTTTATCAAATCCCATAGACTCTTCCTTCCAATTCTACTCACAATCTAATACATTTTCCCAGCTCCAGAACTACCACCCTGATTCAAGCCACTATCATTTAACATTGGAATTATTTCAGTAGCTGAGTGTCCTCACACAATAATCTCCCTGCTTTGGTTCTTTCTCTCTTCTGAAAGTCTATCCTCCATACATCAGCTATAAGGGTTTGTTTGTGTTTTGTTTTATTTGGCTAGAGTCTCACTATGTAGCCCTGGATGCTTGGAGCTCACTATGTAGACCTGGCTGGCCTCCAATTCAGAGTGCCGGGATTAAAGGTATATTCTACTGCCTGGCTAAGGGTTCTTTTAAAGGTCCAAGAGCTAGAAAGATGGCTCAACACTTGCTGCCCTTGCAGAAGATCTGGGTTTGATTCCTAGCACCCACTCAGGTGGCTCACAACTGCTTGTAACTCCAGTTCCAAGAGATCTAATTCCCTGTTCTGGCCTCCGCAGGCAACTTCAGGCACATGATGTACATAAACTCATACAGACACACACATACACACATAAAAATAAATAAGAAAAAAATGTGGTTAGGGGGTTGTTTTGTTGTTTTTTTCGAGACAGGGTCTTACTATGTAGCCTTAGCTGGCCTGGAACTCTCTATGCACACCAGACTGGCCTTGAACTCATAGGGTTTCACTTGCCTCTGCCTGCCAAGTGCTTGGATTAAAAGCCTGTGCCACTATACTTGGGAAGAAAGATAAGATTTTTTATTTTTATTTTTATGTTATGTGTATGAATGTATTGCCTGCAGGTATGTAAGTGCACCTATGTTGTACAGTGCCCATGGAAGTCAGAAGAGGGCATTGGATCCCCTGGAACTGAAGTTATGGACAGTTATTAGCTACTACTATGTGGGTGCTGGAAACCGAACCCAGGTCCTCTGCCAGGACAATCAGTGCTCTTAACCTCTTAACTGCTTGACAATCAGTGCTCTTAACCTCTTAACTCTTGAACCTCTTAACTGCAGGAATGTATTGCCTGCAGGTATGTAAGTGCACCTATGTTGTACAGTGCCCATGGAAGTCAGAAGAGGGCATTGGATCCCCTGGAACTGAAGTTATGGACAGTTATTAGCTACTACTATGTGGGTGCTGGAAACCGCATTGGATCCCCTGGAACTGAAGTTATGGACAGTTATTAGCTACTATGTAGGTGCTGGAAACCGAACCCAGGTCCTCTGCCAGGACAATCAGTGCTCTTAACCTCTTAACTGCTTGAACCATCTGTCCAGTCCCCAGAAAAAATTTTTTTTGTCTTTTAAATACAGGATCTCAGGGGCTGGAGAGATGGCTCGGTGGATAAGAACACGGACTGTTCTTGCAGAAGAGCCAGGTTTGAATCCCAGCACCCACATGGCAGCTAACAACAGTCTATAACTCCAGTTCCACAGGACCCGTTGGCCTCTTCTGTCCTCCGAGGGCATTGCAGGACACGGATGCACTTACCTACATTCAGGCAATATACTCATACACATAAAATAAAAATAATAAATAAAATTTAAAAAGAAAGAAAGAAAGAAAAGAAAGAAAAGAATTTAGTTCAATTTTACTTAATCTTATGATAAGCCTAATTGAAGCCTAAAGCAATGAGCTTAAGTTTTATGTTTGTTTGTTTGTTTGTTTGTTTGTTTAGGCTCTCCTGGTAGCCCCAGCTGACCTGGAACTCACTATGTAGAGCAGGCTGGCCTTGAACTCACAGAGATCTGTCTGCCTCTGCCTCCCAAGTGCTGAGACTAAAGGCATGTGCCACCACGCCCAGCCAGAAAAAAAATCTTTTTTAAAAAAGTAAATTTTAGCTGGGTATGGTAGCACATGCCTTTAATTTCAGCACTCCACCTAGAAGGCAGAGGTAGGCATATCTCTGTGAGTTCAAGACCAGCCTGATCTACATAGAGAGTTCCAGTCTACCCAGGGCTACATAGTGTCTTCATCAATCAATCAATTAATTGATCACTCAATCAATCAATATCTTCTTAAACTGGACCTGATGGCACAGGACTCTAATCTCATCTCCTTGGGAGCTCAGGCAGGAGGATTGCCACCAAAAAAAGAAAGAAAAAAGACAAAGCATTCAAGCCACCATCTTTCCTGCTCAAAACTTTCCCACTCATTGCTCCCAAAAGGAAAATCAAACTCATTGTCAGGGCCTACTGATCCATAGACTGGCTCTTTAGGCCCTTTAGGACAGCTGGTTAGAAAACAGAAAACATGAGATGGGAAATCCTCTGTTCTCATTTTCCTGGTTCTGATTTCTATCTCTTGCTGGTGGATACCCAGGAGTTTGACATAACTGACTAGACTACCCTCAAAAAAAGAACTTCCCTTTCTGAAAAACTTCACAACTGAGATTGTTTTTTTATTTTTTGTTTGTTTTGGTATTTTTGAGACAGGGTTTCCCTGTAGCCCCAGCTATCTACTCACTGTGTAGATCAGGCTGGTCTTAAACTCACAGAGATCCACCTGCCTATGCCTCCCGAGTGCTGGGACTAAAGAGATGTACCACCACATCCGGCTAACAATTGAGATGGTTGAAAGCAGCTAATGAGGCTGAGACTGTAGCTCAGTGGTAGAGTGCTTGCCTAGTGTTAGGCCCTAGGCTCAATCCCTAGTACGGGGGGTTAAAAGAAAGCTGATGGAATATGCCTTAAGTCTAACTCCCTTGTGACAGCAGCAAGCCAACACTATGTACCTTAAAAAGGTCTCCTCGTCAAAGACAAAATTCTATGGATAAGAAAAAGGAAGGTACCAGTACATACTTTCCCTAATAGCTAAACTTAGTTACAGATTAAATAGCATCAAAGCCCCCAAATCACATATATAGTTGCTGCTGAGATGCTTAGATGTGTTCCTCTCCTAACACCTGCACTTGACTCCCTTCAAATGCATTTTACCTTTTGCCTAATAAGCTCACTAACTTTGCTTCACTGTGACTCCTCCTAAAATTATTTTTAGTGTTAAGAACAATGCTGCTCCTGAATAGGGGATGTTGAGTACCCGAGGGGGGCTTCTCAGGCTGCCTAGCCAGAAACATCAACTTGCATCTCTTGCTGCTGGCGACAGCACCAGGCCGCTTTCCTGACCACATCTCTACTGCCCTTGCTGCCTTCTTTCTAGACACCACTCCTGCCCACCCCAAGGCCCTTTCTGTGTAATGTAAACTCTATGCCTGCCTGAGGGGCTTTGCATAGTTGTTCTCTGTAAGGAAGGTTTTCTCTCTGGATCTTCACATGTCTGGATCCTTGCCATCCAGGTGTCATCTCAAATATGATCTACTCCAGGAAATCTTTTTGCTGGGGCCACTCACTATATTTCTGTTTTATTTTCTTACCTAGCAGTATCACTACTAGTAACTTTATTTATTTATTGTTTATCATTTATTGCCTACCTCCCCACACACACATACTGAGCTGTACAATCCATGAGGCAGGTATCTTATTTGTTTTGGCCTCTGAGCCTGGAGCAGCCTGGCACACCGTGGTTCTCAATAAATACTTGCTGGATGAGCGCATAGAAAGATAGGGGTTGGGCAGGGAGCCGCGCTTCTTCTGGGGGCCACATGAGGGTGCTGCTCCCCACAACCTGACTCACTGGAGCCGCTCCCTTAACCAAGTGGTTATGTTTTTTTGTTTTTCTGACTGGGTGCCGAGATGGTGAGATGTCAAGAAGGCAGGGAGGAGTCCTGAGGCACGGAGTGTGAAGGGACAATCAGGTTCATATGAATGTGAATAAACTCTTCTGGATATCTGGGACTTTGGGATTCAGGTGTTCCTGTCCTTCAACCTCCTGTATGGTTCGAGAGGTTCCAAGGCAGCAGTTGGAGGAAAGAGTCATTATATTACCAATTAGTGAGAGATGCTGAATTTGGGGGAAGGTGGTTTCAGTCCCAAGAGAGCAGAAACTGGCCTAAGGGCTTAAAACAACAGGGGAACTCCTGTGACCATTCCTTCAAGAATGTGTCCCAACCTTAGGGGCAAGTAACTCAAGAAAGCTTGAGGAGGATGGAATCATGAATAGCCCCCAACACACACACACACACACACACACACACACACACACACACACACACAAAGTGCCAAAGTTCAGAGTTCAGAAGGTCTGTCTATCCTTTCCCCTCTGTGGCCTGAATTACCCTGGCTCCAAGAGCTGCCTATAATAGCCAGGGGCCACTGTGCCTCTTCCCCAGACCTCACTTCCACCCCTTGGGCCAAGGTGCTTAGAGTTGGGAAGAATAGTGAGGGACTTG